AAAAAAATCCCTAATGACTTCAAAACATCTCCAACGGTTAGAAGCGGCTATAAACTCATTTTATATATTAAAACAATTCTAAGACACTTGAAGAAGGACACAACACCTATCCAATCAATCAAGATCAAGAGAAAAGTTTTTAATTCCTTATTCTTTATTTTCTCTTGTACATAGAGTGTTTTAGTGAGCTTAATTGCATAAACACCTACCTTTGTGAGATGTTCTTATTTACTTCTTTATCCATTTGTAAAAGGGGAGTGTTTATAGTTTAGCCATTGAAAACTAAAGAATTTTGTAAAGGTTACTATTGAGCCTAGAAAAAGAAAGAATAAATTAATTTGTTAGAAAATCCTTTGTGTAGTGTAGAACTAAGGTAGTGGATGTAGACTTAGTTTAGAAACCAAACCACTATATATCATTGTGTCTTATTTTTCCTGTATTTTCTCCTCATTTCTCAAATTTTAAAGGGCAAAGAAAAATAAATCTACTATCATAGGAAACTATACAAAAGAGCTATTAATTTAACACCAATTAAAAGTAAGATAAGAGGCTACAATTAAGAACTAATCATTGTAGAACTTTTTTTTTTGGGTAACAAAAGATAAAACAAGCCTACAGACTCGGCCCAATACATGTGTCAGATAGGTCTTAACCCAGGACAGCATGTTTGAGGGGGGCATCAGCATGTGGGTTATAGATTCATTATTGCTGGAAACGTATTGGACTTGGACGACTTTTTTGTTGATTCTGGTTTTATGTACAAAGAAATCATTTTTATTCAGAGTTTTGAATTGCTGATTATAGGACTACTTCATTCTTCAAACAGATTTGAATTTGTTTTACTTTATACGTTGTACAAGCTGCACTGTGAAGGTAGTTTTAAACCAACTTAAAGGGCAATTTGACTTGCCAAAAACTAGTTTTCCTTTTCGATACAAAGGTGTAAGCAACTTGGTGTATGTGTAATTTGTGAAGGATATTCTAGTGCTCGAACTATGGCATGCTGTAGATTTTTATATGCTTCTGATAATCAACGGATACTAGTAAACCATTATAAATGAAGAAGCTTCTGATCATGTTGAAGAACCGGTTTGTTAGTTGAAAGAGTACTTACCCTCTATTCTTAGAACCCATATCATAATGGTTAGAAAATGGGTTGTTTTTTTCTCCTTTATCCCTTAGGATACCGTATATTTTAAGGTGGATTATAAATATAATAAATAAGTGTAGGGTAAGAGTATGTCCATAAAAAAGTTATTTATATTTTTGTCTATTATACGGTATAAATATAAGGGCATAAAATTATTATCGCACTCGGACATTACAACTCATTGGACGGGCCTGCAGGCCTACAACTTGAGCCGAAACGGAAACAATCAAATCTCAATGCAGCCAAAGTCGCACCTCCGGATCATTGTAGAACCTTTGAATCCATCATAAAACTTTTTCTTTCAACAATAATTATTCATTAAATAAGTAATTCCGTATTTTTTTAAAAATCAAATTATTTAAAGCAATCTCGCATCTTTACTGAAGCTGCATATAAAGAATATAGCTAATAAAAAATGGCTCAACTGAATTTTCATGAAGTTTTTTTTTTCCGAAAGAACATTACACACGTTAAGCAAATTATAACATTGTATTTAGGCTTAAATATACAAAAGATGTTTAACCTATGTCTCTTTTTCTAGTTTAGTGCCTAATGTTTATTTTGTTCTAATTTGGTGTCTAACATTTCATTCCGTTACTCAAAATGGGTCAAACCGTGACAGACCATTAAGTTTTGCCGTTAAGTGACACGTGTCATAACCTGTGGTAATTTTTAAAAAATTATTCAAAATTAAAAAATTAAAATTATATATATATTAAAAAAGAAAACACAAATTTTAAAATAAACCCAATACTTTAAAAACCTTTATTTCAACCCCTAAACCCACACCGGTCATCGCCTTTTTCTGTCGACGAAGCTTCACCCGACCTCCCCTCCCCTCGGCGACCAAAACCCTTATGAAATCATGACTGATCAACGGTCGACCGGCCATCGAAATCGCGTGGGATAGTGCAAGCTATAAAATGTTGATCCGTCATCGATCGGCCGTTGATCGGTCACAATTTTATGGGGTTTTGGTCACCAAGGGAAGGGGAGGTTAGGTGGAGCTTCATCGACGTCAAATTGTGGCGGTCGGTGTGGGTTTAGGGGTTGAAATGAATATTTTTAAAGTTTTGGGTTTATTTCAAATTGTGTTTTCTTTTTGAAGAATATATATATAATTTTTATTTTTATAATTTTAAATACAATTTTTAAAATTACTAGGTTGTGACACGTGTCACTTAACGGGGAAATTAACGTCGTTGATAGCCTGGGCACCGAAATGAATAACGGAATGAAACGTTAGATATCAAACTAAAACAAAATAAACGTTAGACACTAAACTGGAAAAATGGACATAGATTATGCACCTTTTGTATATTTAAGTCTTGTTTTTATAACGCCCCCAAAGTGTGTGGTGGACTTGCTCAACCATCTGTTAGTTGCTTTGACTCCATGCATTACTTATTGGATTGAGATTCACTTGTGATGTGGGATGGACGGATGTTCATTTTGAAATTGACTCATTGACACTTGTTCACAAGATTACAAGAGATTCTGATAATATTTCGACTCTTGGTGTTTTTGCGCAGGAAGCCCGGACGATTTTTCGGAACTATTATCAGTTTTATATTACTTATGCTAGTCGTTCTTGTAATCATGTTACTCATCAGTTAGCTAATTGGGCTCTTAGAACTGGTGGCCAAGGATTAAAAAAACGGCCGTGTAACGGCATAACGACCGTTATATCGTGGTATCAATGGCTTCCGTTATTGATATCAGCCGGAATAACGGTGTGAAACGGAATCACACCCATAACGGCTGATAATAACCGTAATTTAACGGGTAACGGTTCGATCGCGGCTATAACGAATTGTTTTTTCCGTTAATTCCCGTTACAACACCAAACATCTTGGTGAACTTTGGAAGACCCATTATCGGTCCGAGTCTTGGGGTCTGATTTCCGAAGCCTTTTGATGATGATGATAGACTTGGATCGGCGACGAACAGGCCACCGGAGGAGAGAAGAGACGCTTGATTCTCTTGTTGAGGAGTTTAAGCATGGTGGAGAAGTGGGTTGTGATTTGTGAACGAAATGGGTTGTAAAGCTTTTGAAGATTGCATGAGAGAAGAAAGAGTTACACAGAAGTTTTCAAAGAGTTTGGAAGAAAGAAATAATAAACAGTTTAATGGCATAAAGCAAAGATTAGGTTATAAAACATGGCTGGTTGGTTTTTGCTAGGAGTGGAAGAGTAAAAGGTGACTTCCAAGAAAGGGTATGCTGACTCGTGACAGTAAAACAAGGGTTAAATGTGACTTTTCATTCTTCCAATATAGTGAGCAGGGTAAGGAAACATTGCCAACTGCTCCCCCATAAAATATATATATATATATATATGTTGCAATTTGTAGGTCTTTTAATTTAATATATATATTTTTGGCAAGTGAAGTTAAAAATCTTTCTCACTTTGGAAAGTTGTTAAGTGCCTTTAAATTACATTCATTAAAATAAAATAAAAAAGAAATAAATTTGTTAATTCTTTTGTGAGTATTTTTAATTTTACAGCCAATGTATCTTACACTATTTTTTTTTATCAAAATAAGATTTATAATAAGTAAGTTCAAATAGTTAATATAGTTCATTATTCAAATTAAAATGTTTACTTAATCTTTTTGTTTAGAAAACATTTTAGGTTAAACTATATTAAATATATGTCAATTTCGTTTAGAAGATATTTTAAAAATCATTAAAAATTATTTCTTATAATTATAATTATTTTTATTATGTTTTAAGATAAGTTGTGCAAAATTTAAAAAAATTTACAACCGCGACACCCGTAGTGACCGCGATGACATCCGTTATGTCTGCAACCGCGATAAACGCGATCGAAAACGTGACCGCGAACGCTATTTAAAACCCTGCTGGTGGCTCTTTATTCTTTGATTCGGTTTATCCTAATATTATTGCTTATGGCATTCAAAACGATGTACTTGGTACTTGATATTTGAATTATGGTAATAGGGCATTTTCCCTTTATTAGGTTTAGAATGAGTTTTTAATGAGGCTCATTCATGTTTTTTGCTATAAAAAAGAAGAAGGAACTTATAGGGTTATGATGTAGCTTCTCGAATGAATAAAATTTTGTTTACTTTTAAAGAAGAGAACATGTATTTGAGTCATCATTCATGTTACGCATAATATTCTTATAGCATCATCTTAAATGTAATGTTTCAATCATAAAGTTTTTTGGGAAAAATATATAAATGGTCCATGAATAGAGTTTTATTTGAATTATCTGATTATTAAAAGTTACAAAATGACCTCTTAATTATACGATGTCACTTTCTTTAATCCTCAACTATTAAAAGTTATAAAATGATCACATGACTATTTATATTTTCTAAACTTGTCTTTCTTTCGTTAAAAATGATAGTCGTCTGAGCTGGATGTTAACCTATTAATTGAGATTCAATAAAATAAGATCCCAGAATCGTTTGAAATAGCATAGCCGTTTGAGATTCTGGGATCATATTTTATCAAATCTCAATCAATAAGTTAACGTCCAATTTAAACGGCCATCAATTTTTAATGAAAAATGACGAGTTTGAAACATATGAATAAACATACAATTTTGTAACTTTAAATAGTCAAGAGACTCAACAAAGGTAGCACCCTGCAATTGAGAGATTATTTTGTAACTTTAAATAGTCGAAAGACTGAACAAAGAAGTGTCCTATAGTCCAGGAATCATTTGTATAGTTTACCCAAAACTGCATATTCATATAATGTATAGAATTGATACAAAATAGATACCGATATATTCTTATCAAATGCATTAGCCTTAAACCGGTACAAGTTTCTTAAATTTGAAGCACCTTTCAACAATTATTACACAAATATTACACAATATTTGCACAAGCACAAAAAAGTCATCTTAAAAACCGACAAAGTTATTGGTTTCAAATGTTTTTTTTTCCCCTCAGTCATCATCTACATAAATGGTTTCCTGCTGAAACAGGCCACCAAAAACCTTCCTCACTTCAGTTTTATCTGCGTCTTTTACAGTACTAGGCTTTGGTGCCTTTGGTTTGGTCTTGGGTGCTGTCTCCTTCGCCTTTGGGAAAAACGATGTCGTAGCTTGCTTAACATTGGCCTTCTGTGAAGGTAGATTTCTAGCCTTGGCTTGTCCCCTAACAGTGGCAACCTGCACTTTAGGCTGCTCTCCATTAGGACTCTTTTGAACCGCAGTGGCTATTTGTAAACTGAATTTTTCCCATGTAAGTCCTGTGCTGAAGTCTTTTGCTTTACTCAACAGGCCCTCCACAGAGGCACCTGCAGCCTGTGCTTTCTCTTGTGCTTCTTCAGCTAGAGTAGCTGCCCTCGCTTCTTGCTCCGAAAGCTTTTTCACTTCCTCTTCCAGCTTCTTCGCTGCATCGGCTGCGTCCCGAGCCTTCTCGGCGGCTAATATCGCCTCTTCTTCGGCTTTAGCCTTTGCCATGGCTTCGGAATACGCCTTCCTTCTTCCATCCTGAGGAATACCACTTCAAAGCGAGTAACAAGATACTTGAGTTCGAGTAGGATAAATAAAATTCATAAACTAACACCAATGCAATGTACCTGAAAAGCTCATCCACACCCTTTAATGGAGCTGACGGACTAGTAGACACTTCTACAACCTGTCTCATTAGCAACCATTAAGGTATATAAGTAACCGAAAATCGAACCAGAAAGATAATCCTACTTCAAGCAGGCTTTAAATACTTTGATTCATGCAGAATTACAAGTTTTTATATAAACCAGACTCACATGGGATCAATCAATGCTACATTAATTCGGCTTTGTATCTCCGCTTAGATTGATTTGTTACCGACAAACTCCGGTAACGAAGGATTTAAGACGAAGAAGAATGAACAGATTGAATGTGTGTACCTTGTTTTCTGCCACGGCTGTGTTGGAGAAAACATCTGCCACTAAAGATGCTACCTGGGATTTTGCAACCTAAACAAAGTGTTCACAAATATTGAGCATTAAGGCAAACAAAGATTCTGATCAAGAAAGAAATTGTTTTTTCTTTTTCTTTTTTTACAATGGAACAGAAAAAAACTGCATACATTACATTATGTTACATTACTTTGTAGTCGTTTGCACCAACGCTTCCTTCGGCTGACACCACAACATTGTAAGAGCTCTCTGCCGAGTAATCTTCAGTCAGGGTTGTCTTTAAGAATGTGTAGCTAACGTCAGTTTCTATTACTTTTTGTAAGAATTCCGGCAGACTTAATGGTTGAGATTGAGAGAAAAGGTTACTAAAGAACGATGTGATGCCGTCGAGCACGTTGTAGGTAGACATATTCCCGGCGTTACCGTCGTAGACTATTGCAACGTGACCTACGCCGGCTAGTTGAGCGGCTTGAATCACTTGCACTGCATCTGATGCGGAGACCGCAGAAGAGGGGCCGTTCTCACCGGGGCCGATCGTGACGACGACTTTGCTGGCATTGCCAATGGCTTTGGCTATCGATTCTGCATCTTCGAATGTGGATTCGACAGCATTTAGGCGTTTCGACTCTTCATTCGATATGATCTGTAGTAAGAAAAGATCAATTTTAACTTTTAGCAGACAAAATTCAGGTCTATGTGATGCATAAATGTATCAATTAGACATATATATACATGTGTATCATCTTCTTATGATACTGCAAAGTGCTAACCTTGTATTGTGCAGCAAGTTGAGCCAACTCCTGAGCAGCAGCAAGCTCCGGCACACCGGCACGTACTGAGAAACCCTGGCGCAACAACTTCTGCGCAATGCGAATGCCGGCCTGCCCCGTTGCGCCTGCGACATACACGGTGTTCGGATCTTTTCTTCTAACGTTCCCAAACGACAGACCGGTGGAAGGATTAGTGACTACGGGGACCAAGGTTTTCACATCAGGTAAATTACCAAAATTGAATCGGAATGGGCTAGAGTTGCCCGAGTCTTTAGCTTGACCATCTTCAGGGTTGTCTTTAGCTTTCCCGAGCTGAAACGAAGAGAAGGGTCCGGACCCTTTGGCAAGCACTGCGAGCCTTGGAGCCTTGAGGGTTAGCCTTGACTGGGGCGTTGTGCTTAAGAGAAACGAATTAGAGGTGAGAGATGGAGCCATGGATATGCTCATGGAACCAAAAAACAATCTCAAATGGCGCCTCTCCCCTTCAATTCAAGTCTTTTTTTTCCCTCTGTGTTACAGATATCTAAGGTCCGTATAGTTTATTCATAGTCCTCATTCTATGTGGCTAATGGCAATCGAAATTGCGTTTTATCCAGATCGGAATGGCGATAGAAAGCTGGCAAATAGAATTGAGCCACGTAGTCTGAGTTTTATCTACTAAAAGAAATTGGACACCAGTCATTAAGAAACATATTAGATTATAGGGTAACTTATATATTAAGTCATCTAACTATCACTTTAGTTTCATTTTGGTCACTCAACTATTTTTTTTAAATTATAAAATATCAAAAAAGGCCTCTAACTTTTGACTAAATAGTTACTTTGGCTCATGATGAACATTTTGGGTTTCTTTTGGTATTATGCATTTTTTAAATTATCACTAGGGTTATGTTTTGCTTTTATTTTAGTCACCCAGTGTTAAAAAAATAACAGTGACGCTGGCATGCTATTATAAAGTAATGTTATATCATCATTAAAAATAAATAAATAAAATATCACATTATCTGATTTTTTAATGACCGATGATCAAAATAAAACCAAAATATAACACTAGTGATAATTTAAAAGAATTTAACTGAATGATCAAAATTGAACTAAAATGATAGTTAAACGGCTAGATACATCATTTATCCTAAATTATATATGTGGAACCAACAGAAAATGACAGATCCGACCGTCAACAGTTACATGTTTCAAGCTTCATCTATCCACTCAATAGGATAAGCGTGGTCCACATAGCCAGAGGAACTGCTTTAAGCTTGATGAAATCCAGATTAATGAGGACTGATCCAGAAAGTTTCAAGTTTCACCATTCCCTACATTTTAATCGAATGAGCAGCCGAGAGCTCAATGTGGGTTAAACAAGGTTTTGGTGAATAGAAAAGATAGCCACTAAGAGAGCTTTTCCGGTTTCAATTTTAGGTTAACGAGTCTAATATGGGTTTCCAAGAATTTATAGAACAAAACGAAAAAGATAAAAATAAGAGTCCGTTTCGTTTAAAAAATATTTTCTATTTTTATTTTCAGAAAATAATTTTTATTTTTAATTTATTGAAAATTAGAAAACATCTTTAATTAATAGAAATTAAAAGTTGAATTCATAATAAAAATAGTGAAATTATATTTGGTATCTAGTTTTAAAAAATAGAAATGAACAAATAGTTATTAAATAATTATATTAAAATATAATTATTAAAACATTTCATTAAACATGTGAGTTATACAAATATAAAATACTAAAATTGATAAGAAATATCATAAATAAAAATTACTTTAGTTTACATTAAGAACATAACATTAATGCATATTGAAAATTAAAAATACACAAAAATATTATTTTCAGCAGGACACACAAAGTGTCATTCAAATAAAAAAAATGTTTAGTGATATTTAAGACCCTATACCTCAAAAACTAATATAGTCCGAGAATTTTTTGACACTAAACGCAACCCTTAATCTGAGAAAAAAATCAATCTAACCTTTTGAACAACTGAATCAAATATTGATCGTCATGACGCTTATATGATAGTTCACAAACTTTTATAGTAATCTATCATATTGATTTGACAGTTCACGATATTATTGTGATAGTACACGATGAACAATGATTGATAGATTGACTTAATTGATTTTTTGGCTAATTGCGAGGGTCTATAAAATATAAAATATAAATAATTATTAAGATATTAAAAATTATTAAGAAATTATTAAAATTTAAAATATAAAATATAAATAATTATTAAGATATTAAATATATTAAATATAAAAATACTAAAAAATTCAATTATTAAAAAATTCAATTTAAAGACCATATTGACTATAAAAATTTAGGGGCCACATTGATTTTTTTTTTTAACTTTGAGGGTACCATTAAGTCAAAAAAATTATTGTTAGAAGGATTTGAACATATGTAAGTTAAGTTAAAAATCTAGATCTTGTGTTTCCTATTTTTCAAATTTCCAAAAACAATTTTAAACACTGAAAACACTTTTTTATATTTTCATAATTTTTTATTTTCATTTTTCAAAAAATCATTTTCTAATTCTACAACCAAATACATTTTATTCAATATTTTATATTTTCTAAGAGAACGAAAATAAAAATAATCTACAAATACATTTTATTCAATATTTTATATTTTCTAAGAGAACGAAAATAAAAATAATCTATATTTTGTAGAACCAAACAAACCCTAAACATTATAACTCTAGCATTGCGTATTTCTTTGTCTCAATGCCACCAATAGAACCTACACAAAATGAGATTGCATTTGCATAAGGGCACCCAAACGTTAATTCAAAATTGAGATATTTTTTTTAATACAAGAGATATAAAACTGAAAGCCTCAACTACAGGCGGTTGGGTTGCTCATGGCCTGCTGCGAATGATTCCATCAGCAACTCACGACAATCCGCTGGAGGTTCTTGCATCAGCACCAGTTCAAACGAATGACTCCACGCCATCTTCGAAGGCTTATCCACAACTGAGTTACACTCCCGAGGCACATAACTAACGTAAACCTCCCAGTCTCGTCGGCAAAGATCACGCAAATGTGGAAGCAACGAAGAGGCTCCCGTACTCCAGGAGCATTATTTAACAGACCAGCAGCTTCCTTGCAGTCCGTCTCTACCAAAATCCCCCTAATTCCCTTTTTCCTAGCATCTTGGAGTCCTTCAAACAAACCCCATAGCTCTGCATCCAAAGCTGAGCAACATCCGACAGTCCTCATGAAACCCGATACCCATCTTCCCACGTGATCTCGATTAAATTCGTTTTAATCCTAAAATAGATTAAATTTATAATTATGATACCATTAAATATAATATATTCAATTTAGTCTGAAAATCGAACCCAATTCAGAGATACAACAATACTAAACTTAAAAATATAACTTATATATTTAGTCCAATTTTAATTTTTTTTACAATCACGAGTTATTCAATTTAATCATGTTATGAAGAAACGATAATCATCCAAGTATACTCCTACAACTACTTGCATATACAATATTCACAAGAAAATTTCAACTATTAATAGAAAAATTACATCGTTAAGAAGGAATTCCCTCACATACTATCTCAATTTTTCCAAAGGTTAACTTTTCAAAAGCATGGGAAGACATTTGAATATATAAGTAAAATATTGTATTCATGGTAATAGTATCGGTATTCAAATATAAGTATCAATACTGAATATCAGTATCAATATGAGGTTCGAAAAGCATTTTAATTTTCAAGGTAGCAATAACCATATGCAAGTATTAGTACCCTCTCTTTATGTGTTGATACTCATCTTAAGTATTAATATCAAAATAAGACTCGATGTTTGATAAATCTCAACTGGTATTGATACCCCACAAGAGTATTGATACCACTCCTTATAGTATCGATACACACCTTAAGTATAGGTACTAACTTGAGATCCGAAGAGCATTTTAATTTTCAAGGTAGCGATACTCATAAGCAAGTATTAGTATGTACCATTCCTTAAGTTGTTGATATTCATTTTAAGGGGTCGTTTGGTTCACGGAATGTAAGATTATTTTTAGGAATAATATTACTGGAACGTAACATTAATATGAGAATGTTATATTACCTTATTTGGTTTTGTTTTGCAGGAATGTAGGATTACAGTATTTGGTTGGAGGAATATAAAATTACTTAACTATATATACTTTACCAAATTATCCTTGTGGTATATGTTCTTAAAAAAAAGTTAAACTTTAATATTAAATTATAAATATTTGAATGAAAATTCATAAAAATATTTTAATTGTTATACTATCTAACTTTTGAGAAAAATATATTTAATATTTAATTAGTGTATTAAACTTATATTTTTAAATAATTTTCATAAGCATCATATTTATTTAATATATAAATATAATATAATATAAAAAAAATATTATGATCTCGAGCAGACAATGATATTATTTTTCAATGTATAAGATCTATTTTTTTAATAATTTAAAGTTAGAGATTATATTTTTACAATCATATTATTTTTTATCTCATAAAATTAAAAATAATTAATATATTGAATATTAAAAATATAAAATAATTTTAAATACTCAAATTTATTAAAATTTTTACTAAATTAAACTCTTTGTGTATTATTATTATATTTATAATTTTGACTAAAGTAAAAAAAAAATAAGAATTGAAAATGATCATTATAAAAAAATTCATTAGTCTAACGGAATTCTTGTCCAAAGTGGTGGGAATTGTCAAATACCTAAGAATTTGGAGGTAATAACATTCCCACCATTTTAATAAAAAAATGCTACTACTGGAAAAAGATTATTCAATGATAATAGTCTTTTCTGTAAACCAAACATAGAAATGCAATCCCGAAAAAGATTATTCCCCTCGATAATATTATTTTCCCTGAATCAAACACCCTTAAGTATTAGTGCCAAAATAATGTTTAATAAATCTAATATGTTATTGATACCCTCACATGATACTGATATAACCCCTTATGGTACGGATACTTATCTGAGTATCAGTACTAAATGTAACTTTCAAATTTGAATAATAATATGGTACTGATACTGTAGGGGTGTGTATAATCAATACCAGAGGAACAATAATGATTCTACTAAAACAGGTATCCACAATCCCCTCTAAAAAATTTAATTTTTCCTTAATTCTTATGATATTGATATTGATATTGATATTGCAATAATAATACTCATATCAAAATGCACAAATAACCTAGTTTAGCCTAAAATGCACTGTCACATCACTCATAATAGTCTAAAGTTATCTAAGAACCTTTCTGGGACCTAGTCACATGCCTTCTGCCCTCAGTAAAGCCATTACCAATCTATAGCTCAAAGGATCAGTTCAAGACTAGGCAATTAAAGTTTGTTATTTTTGTTAGATAGTAGTTAGCTTTGCTTCTTAGCTAGTGCTAGTGTGAGTTGTATACATAATGTATTATCTCTATGACTTCATATATGAATATACGAGTACTTTTTAGTATATTGTTTGTTTACTTTTAATATGGTATTAGGCTTTTCTCGATCCTTCCAGAGAGTTTGT